TCTTATTGTGTTGCCCAGGCTGCTCTTGAACTCCTGGGCTCAAGCAATCCTCCCGCCTTGGCCTCCCAAAGTGCTGGGATTACAGGCATAAGCCATTGCACCTGGCCCTCTTGGTAATTTTGTATTACTGACCCTCACTCTGCTCCTTGGCTGTAAATTCCCACTTGCTTTTGCTGTATTTAGAGTTGAGTTCAGTCACCCTCTACCACTGCAAAATCCCATTACATTTGTCTATATGCCTATCATAATGGCCCTGAATAAAGTCTTCCTTATTGTGCTTTAACAATTATCATTGAATAATTGTTTTAAACACGTATAGCTTAATTAAGGAAGTGAGATTCCAACGCCTTTGCCATATTCTTCTGATTAGAGGTAAGTCACTAGGCCAGTCCATGCTCAAGGAGAGGGTGTAGAGCACCCAATTCTGTCCCTGTTTGGGCGCCACTTGTAACCTGCATGGACCTAGGGGGACGGAACAAAGAGTGGCAAACACAGGAATAAAAGACAAGAGATAAAAGAGTATATTTGGAAGAAGGGGTCGGGGGTACCTTGCCTCTAGTGGACAAGGACTCTGAGCTTTACACAGCCCTCCGTATTTTTAGGCAAAAGAGATAGTTGAGTGGGGTGCAGTGGAAGAAGGGGTCAGCTGCTCAGTCCAGAGTAGACTCACAAGACTGCATTCTCTAGATGTTGCATTAGATAACCTCAGCTCTAGGCTGTGATTGCCTCCAGAAAACCTTCTGTCTGTAGGACCAATCATGAGTTTGCTCACATCCTGCATTCATGATAAACAGTTTGCTGTTTGATCATGTAGCCTCCAGTGGAATGCTGAGTTGGTCACGTCCCACGGGCCTTTGGCTTCCTGCAAGTGGGAGCTACATAAAGGTGTGAACACTGGGAGGGTGGAGTTCATTGAGCCATCTGCCTGCAATAGATCTGTCATATAGTAAATTATTTTTGAGTGTGGATTGAGGTAGGACTGTCACTTTACTTTTTACCAAATAGATAGATATCTCACATAAATAATTTAGAATGGGTAAACCAACCAGGATTAAGTACTTATATCATCTATCAAGTGTGTTCACTGGCCTCTATAATAAAATGAGTGTAGAGTATACCTTCTGCTGTTCCCTGGGTCTTCAATGACTCAATTTTCCACCCAGCAGTATTCTTTAAAGGCATCCTGAGACAGGAGATTGACAATTCATTGATAAGCAGTCTTAATTGTCACTATTACAGGGCTGTAGGTCCCTTGCCAGCCATGCCTTTGAGTCCCAAATGGTCTTCAGGGTTGGGCTGTGTTGTTCAAGAGCTTAGGACCTTAACACTTATTGTTCCGATATTTATTGGCTATAATAACTTCTCTGGAGCAGTCAGCTGTCAGAAAATTTTGTCTCCTTTGTAGGTAACTTGTCTTTGGTCTCTGGATGCTTTTATAGTCTCCTCTTTGTATCTGGTGTAACTTAGTTTCGATCTGTTGTGTCTACATGTAGACTTCTTGGTTGTTGGATTTCTTGAGTTTGAAGTTTGGAGTGTTTAATCAGTTCTGAAAAATTTTCAGTGTTACATATTTGGATATTGTTTCTCCATTACTTGATTTTCTCCTTCTCCTTGAAAAATTATCAAAGTCAAGGAGAAGGTCATGGGAACCCTCAATTTATAATTAGTCCATCAGAAAAATAGGAGGCCTAGATTTGTGATATATTGTTGGCCCTCCACATCCATGACTTCCACATCCATGGATTCAACCAACTGAGGATTGAAAATATATATTTTTTAAAGCACCTGAACTAAGCACACACAGACTTTTTATTGTCATGATTCCCTAAACAATACAGTATAACAACTGTTAACATAACATTTACATTGTATTAGATATTATAAGTAATCTAAAGATAATTTAAAGTATATGGGGCTGGGCGTGGTGGCTCACTCCTGTAACTCCAGCACTTTGGGAGGCTGAGGCGGGTGGATCGTCTGAGGTCAGGAGTTTGAGACCAGCCTTGCCAACATAGTGAAATCCCGTCTCTACTAAAAATACAAAAAGTTAGCTGGGTGTGGTGGCAGGCGCCTGTAATCCTAGCTACTCGGGAGGCTGAGGCAGGAGAATCGCTTGAACCTGGGAGGCAGAGGTTGCAGTGAGCTGAGATCATACCATTGCACTCCAGCCTGGGCAACAGGAGCAAAACTCCATCTCAAAACAAAAAACAAAAATTAGCCAGGTGTAGTGGCACAACCTGTAGTCCCAGCTACTTGGGAGACTGAGGCAGAAGAATTGCCTGCTCCTGGGAGGCGGCAGAGTCTTTTTCTGTTGCTCAGGCTGAAGTTCTGCCCTTGCCCCCCAGCCTGGGAGAGAGTGCTCTGTTTAAAAAAAAAAAAAAAAAAAAAGTATGTAGGAGGATGTGCGTGGGTCACATGCAAATCTGCAAGTACTCTTCCATTTTATTTTATTTTATTAGAGACAGAGTCTTTTTCTGTTGCTCAGGCTGAAGTTCTGTATGATCATAACTCACTGTAGTCTCTAACTCCTGGACTCAAATGAGCCTCCTGCCTCAGCCTCCCAAGTAGCTGGGACCACAGGCACTCACCACTGCACCTAGCTAATTTTTTAATTTTTTGTACAAACGGGGTCTCATGTTGCCCAGGCTGGTCTTGAACTCCTGGGCTCAGGTGACCCTCCTGCCTTGGCCTCCCAAAGTGCTGGGATTACAAGTGTGATCTACTGTGCCTGACCAATACTGTGCCATTTTATATCAGACACTTGAGCATCCTCAGGACGTCCTGGAACCCATACCCTACAGACAGTAAAGGACGACTGTATATATGTCTTTTGTCTGGATCTATGTAAACAAATATATGTACATGTATTCATATATATTTACATATATAAAATGTGTAAATATGTTGTTTTTAGGTTAGCAAGATTTAACTTCCACACTTTATAGAAACTTCCAATTGGGATGAAGGGGTGGCCTGCCCCTCCATACCTATGGGCATTTCTCATCAGGTGGGAGGAGAGACTGAGAAAAGAAATAAGACACAGAAACAAAGTATAGAGAAAGAAAAGTGGGCCCAGGGGACCAGTGCTCAGCATACGGAGGACCTGCGCCTGGCCCTGGTCTCTAAGTTCCCTCAGTATTTGTTGATCACTATCTCTACCATCTTGGAGATGGGGATGTGGCTGGACAATAGGGTAATAGTGGGGAGAGGGTCAGCAGGAAAACGTGTGAGCAAAGATCTCTGTGTCATAAATAAGTTTAAGGAAAGGTGCTGTGCCTTGATGTGCATGTAGTCCAGATTTATGTTTGACTTTACACAAACATCTCGGTGCAGTAAAGAGCACTATTGCCACCAGCATTTCTCACCTCCAGCCCTAAGGCAGTTTTCTCCTATCTCAGTAAATAGAACACACAATTGGGTTTTATACCAAGACATTCCATTGCCCAGCAACGAGCAGGAGACAGATGCCTTCCTCTTATCTCAATTGCAAACAGGGCTTCCTCTTTCACTCATCCTCCTCAGCCCAGACCCTTTATGGATGTTGGGCTGGGGGACGGTCAGGTCTTTCCCTTCCCACGAGGCCATATCTCAGGCTATCACATGGGGAGAAACCTTGGACAATACCTGGCTTTCCTGGACAGAGGTCCTTGCGGTCTTCCACAGTGTATTGTGTCCCTGGGTACTTGAGATGAGAGAATGGCGATGACTTTTACCAAGCATACTGCCTTCAAGCACTTTTTTAACAAAGCACATCCTGCACAACCCTAAATCCATTAAACCCTGAGTCAACACAGCACATGTCTCTGCAAGCACAGGGTTGGGGCTAGGATTACAGATTAACAGCATCTCAAGGCAGAAGAATTTCTCTTAGTACAGAACAAAATGGAGTTCCTTATGTCTACTTCTTTCTACATAGACACAGTAACAGTCTGATCTCTCTTTCTTTTCCCCACATGGGTGAATGGAGGATAATTGAATATACAATGACATAATATTATATTAGGACTTTACTTCTTCCACAATGTATTTTTTTAAAAAAACAACAACTATTTGGTATAAACACACAGCCTGTAGAGTGGAAATGAGCAGAAAAACTTTAGCATTTCTTCCATATCATCAAAAAGACATCACTTTATTAAACAGGACTGTTATTACAGGAATCCGTAACACTGGAGGATGTGGCTGTGGACTTCACCTGGGAGGAGTGGCAGCTCCTGGGCCCTGCTCAGAAGGACCTGTACCGGGACGTGATGTTGGAGAACTACAGCAACCTGGTGGCAGTCGGTGAGGACAGCTGCACTGTGTCAAACTCAGAGGGCGCCCAGTCAGTGGCCTTCCTTTCTCAGATGCTTACCTCTTTGGAATGCCTGCAGTACTATGAAGTGTTAGATTCTCAGATCCTTCTCTTGCTCCCACACAAGATGGTGTAATCTACCCTCTTGTGAGAGAAAAACCTTGATGTTACAGATGAAACTAAACTTTCATAGTTTCAGATATGAAACTAAACTTTCCATATTTTAAGAAACTCAAGTTTCCTGAAGTGTAGCGTTCTTCCTCTTGACATTGCCAGCCCAATTTGATATGTCTCAGTCCTCTATCATTTCCCATGAACAGGGTATCAAGCCAGCAAACCGGATGTATTCTTCAAGTTGGAACAAGGAGAACCACCGTGGACAATAGAAGATGGAATCCACAGTGGAGCTTGTTCAGGTGAGAGAACCCACAAGGCAGAAGGCTGTGGAAGTCACATTCTAAGTCGGTCAGAGAAGGCAACACAGCTGTGAAGGGGGTTTGAGGATATGTAAACCGTTCCTCTACTCATCCCTCTCCCAGTGTGAGACCTGTTTTTCTTTGTAGGAATTTAGAGTTTAAAAAAAAAATCCCTTTATCTCTTCAGAGATCTGATTCTTTATTTTATCTACATATTTTTTGTTTGCCTGCATAATTTTCTTCATCCTCGGGTTTCAAGTATTTCCCTTCTTCATGTCCTTCCACCTCTCTTGTTATGAAATTCCACCTTCCAGGCCTCTCTCCAAAGAGGAAACTTCTCGAACTCCCGCCTCTTCATGCCCCTTGACTAATGCTGACCTCCCCTCCTAACACCTCCGCTGTGTTGGATGTGACAGTGGCTTCCTCAGGGTAAACTGGGCTTTCACTGTGCGTTGGCTTCCTTGGCTTCTCTTTTTCCTTATTCTTAGGTTCTCCAAAGGCCCCGTTTTCCATTTTCTCATCTGTGCCCTTCACTCTTCAAAGTTTCCTTCATTCTAGTAAGTTAAGCGCCTTCCATTCCCTGGAGGAGAGTCCCAAACTGACATCTCCCGGTTGTTACCTAACACAGATTTTAGTTCTGTGTTTATTTGATGGCAATTCTCCCCTGAGTTCCTAGTAACTGCAAAGAACTAGAATCATCTTTCCTCCAAGAAAACCCCTGTTAAGTTTGTATTCTCGTTTGTTCCTGTACATCCTGAATCTTGGCCACCCAGGCATTACCTGTCCGAAGAGCTCTCTTCTTTAAAGGTATCTGCTAGTCATGATGAATCTCTAAGTAAAAAAGTCATTTTTTAAAACATCCTACATTCCCAAGGCCAGCTTAAACCAGGTCATAACTCCTGCCCTACTTCCATTTGATTCCTTTCTGTGTTTAATAATTTGCTTTTGTTTTTTTCCCCGTCATATTCTGATGCCACTAAGTCCCAGTAAACCATGTTACCCGTCAAAGTTCTCGTTTCAGTGATCTCTGTGATACAATACCATCCTGCTCACAAAGAGATTTCCATCTTCTTTCCTAAACCCTCCCTGGTGTGTTCCACACATATGATTACTTCCCTGACTCATTCCCTTAAAAATTACTTATTATTATTTATTTTTATTTATTTATTTTTTGAGACAGAGTCTCACTGTGTGCCCAGGCTGGAGTGCAATGGTGTGATCTTGGCTCATAGCAACCTCCGCCTCCTGGGTTCAAACGATTCTCATGCCTATCCCCAACACTAGCACCATACCTGGTACATGGTGATCATTCAGTAAGAGGCTGTGGAATGGATGGATCTGTTCTTTGGATGAAATGGCCCTCCAACCTCTGGTCTGCTGGTCACAGTGAATTGCTTGTATTTTTAAGGTCTTTGTTTTGCAAGGCACATTTAGAATGCAGCCAAATCTGTCTTTATTCATTATTAGTGATCTAACCTTGTTTTTATGCTAACTGCTTTCACCTTTTAGTTTGTCTATACTATTATTTTTTGCCAATGTGCAAGGAACATTAAACATGTAGTTTTATTTACACTCAGGTCATACTGTTATTACTAAAGAGACACCTCACATCAAGGCATTAAAAAAAAAATACTTTGGGGCCGGGTGCAGCAGCTCATACCTGTAATCCCAGCACTTTGGGAGACCAAAGCGGGCAGATCACCTGAGGTCGGGAGTTTGAGATCAACTTGGCTAACATGGTGAAACCCCGTCTCTACTGAATATACAAAATTAGCTGGGCGTGGTGGCACATGCCTATAATCCCAGCCACATGG